CATGACCTGCCTGACCGCCCCGATCTCTTGTTCATCTCGCATGCATTTGCCCCAACCTTATACTTGACCAATCCGCTTCTTGGACGTTGAGTCACATTGCTTCGCCTTTGCACGTTTCTCCTGCCAGGTGCTTCGCTTTTGCTTGCGCCTCCCTCGCTTTGGTTCTCTGCCTGTCTCGGTGGTCCTTCTCGGCCCTCGTTCGTGCATCGCCCCCTTCGCCCTGCTCGATCGCCCACTTTTCCCTCCCTTGGCCGCCCTTCGCTGCCAAGTCCGGACTTGTCTATAAATAGCCTGACCCCCGCGATGTGTAGTCGAACCTCAGCGTTCAAAATAGGACTAAATAAAGTGCCTTCTACTTTATTCTCTGAGTGTTCCTCACGTCTCATTTCGAGACTAGTCTTATCTTGAACGGATCTTTGCTTCCCTCGCTCCCTCTCCGAGTCCACTTCGGACTTTACCCTTGCCTTCCCTGAGCTCACTTCGAGCTCACTTCTTCTTTTGCCGTTGAGTCCCCTTCGGACTCTAACAGGAGCTCAACATACATGCAACCAAGAAGAAGTCGCCGATGAGTGTGGCGCTTGCAGACGATCGTGTGCAGCAGTGCACACACCAAGTGGTCCTGCGAGTGGCCCTCCATCCCAAGTACCATCCTGTCCTGTTGTTCCAAGTGATCGACACCAAGTTCGATGCCATCCTCGGCATGAGCTGGCTTGCTCGTGCCGAGCCGACTCCAGTCGTCGACTGGAAAGGCCGCACTGTCCGTGTTGGCCCTGACATTGTCCTGCAGGGCATGGCCTCACCCAACATGCCACCTCTCCTCTCAGCCATGCAATTCAAGAGGCTGATCAAGAAGGACACGTCGTTCCTCTGTGTCGTGCGTGAGGTCGACGACACCGACCAAGCCGGTCCCGGTCCCCCGCCTGTGGTGACCAAGCTGCTCGACGAGTACAAGGACGTATTCCCCGACCAGTTGCCACAATGCCTGCCACCCCAACGCACCGTCGATCATCGCATCGACATCGAACCAGGCTCGTCGCCTCCGTCAAGACCGACGTACCAACTGTCGCTGACGGAGATGGACGAACTCAAGCGCCAGTTGGATGACCTCCTCGCCCATGGGTTCATCCGCCCGAGCCAGTCACCGTATGGTGCACCAGTGCTCTTTGTCAAGAAGAAAGAAGGTGATCTCAGGATGTGCGTCGACTATCGCGCACTAAACAAACAGACCATCAAGAACACCTACCCGTTGCCCAGGATCGACGAGTTGATGGATCGTCTGAGTGGAGCAAAGGTCTTTAGCAAGATAGACCTCCGCTCAGGCTACCATCAGATCCGCATCCACGAGGATGATGTCCACAAGACCGCCTTCAGGACTCGCTACGGACTGTACGAGTTCCTAGTGCTGCCGTTCGGATTGACGAACGCACCTGCCACGTTCATGCAGCTGATGAACGATGTGTTCCGCCAAGAGCTCGACAACTCTGTCATCGTGTACCTGGATGATATCCTTGTGTACAGCAAGGATGAAGCGACCCATGAAGGTCATGTCGCCCGCGTGCTGGCCAAGCTACGCGAGCACAAGTTGTATGCCAAACTGTCCAAGTGTGAGTTCTTCAAGAATCAAGTCCCGTTCCTGGGACACGTTGTCTCAGGAAGAGGAATCGAAGTCGACCCCGCCAAGGTCAAGTCTGTGGTCGAGTGGCCGCCGCTCGCATGCGTCTCTGACGTGCAGTCGTTTCTCGGTCTCGTCAACTACTACCGCCGATTCATCCCCGATCTGGCGCGCACTGCCGGTCCACTCACAGACCTACTCCGCAAAGAGTGCCCCTTCGTGTGGGACCACCCACAACGCCAAGCGTTCGAGACCCTCAAGCACGCCTTGACGAACGCTCCTGTCCTCGCTGTGTTCGACCCGAACACGGATGTCTCCGTGCACACCGACGCCTCCGACTTTGCGGTGGGAGCTGTTTTGATGCAGGAGGGAAGGCCCGTTGCCTTCGAGTCGCGCAAACTGTCCCAACACGAGATCAACTATCCCGTGCACGAGAAGGAGCAGCTTGCGATCATCTACGCGCTGCAGAAGTTCCGAGTGTACCTCCACGGTACCGCCAAGCCCTTCAAGATTGTGACGGACCACCAGTCACTGCGTTACCTCGACACCAAGAAGAACCTGAGCCGACGCCAAGCGCGATGGATGGAGTTCCTCGCCGAGTACAACTACGAGGTTGTATACCAGAAAGGCAAACTCAATGTGGTGCCTGACGCACTGTCCCGACGCCCCGACTACCAATTGGCGTCACTGTACGAGTCGACTGTCAGTGTCGACAACACGATGCTGGATGTTGTCCGAGACAACATCGCCAACGACAAACAGTTCGGAGAACTGTTCCGAAAGGTGTCTAAGCTCCCCAAGGACGACGAATCATCCGAGTACACAGTGCGTGATGGCCTGCTCCTCCTGAAGAAGGACAGCCGTGTCTGTGTGCCGGACATTCCGTCGTTGAAGACCAAGTTGCTCCAAGAGGTCCACGACTCGCCCCTCGCTGGACACTTTGGAGTCGAGAAGACATACGACCGACTGGCCAAAGTCGCATACTGGCCTGGAATGAAGCGCACCGTCGAGAAGTACATCGAGTCCTGCCATACCTGCAAGATGGTCAAGTCACGCACGACCCGAGAGCAAGGATTGCTGCAACCCCTGCCTGTTCCCGACCGCCCCTGGACCAGCATGTCCATGGATCTCATCACGCATCTACCGACGACCAAGTTGGACCACGATGCAATCGCTGTCTTTGTCGACAGGTTCAGCAAGATGGCACACTTTGTGCCGTGCCAGACGACATGCTCCGCGCCTGACCTTGCACTGCTGTTCTTCAAGCATGTGTTCAAGCACCACGGCCTCCCAAAGTCCATCGTCAGTGATCGAGACCCCCGATTCACCTCCTTGTTTTGGACAAGTCTGTTCGACCATCTCGGCACCAAGCTGAACATGTCAACCTCGCACCACCAACAAACGGATGGACAGTCCGAGCGGACGATCCGCACCCTCGAGCAATACCTGAGGACATACGCCTCGACCAGCCAAGACGACTGGGACATACAGCTGAGTCATGCAGAGTTTGCATACAACACCGCCAAGTCGAGCACAACTGGCTTGAGCCCCTTTGAGGCGCTCTACGGATTCCAGCCTGATGTTCCCACCTCCTTGACACTGACCGAGTCCACGGCTGGATTGCCTCCCAAACCAAGTGCCTTTGTCAAAGATCATCAAGTCCGACACAAGATGATCGCCGACGCGCTCACGGATGCGCAACAAGTGATGGCGAAGTACTACGACCGCCGACACCAGGATGTCTCCTTTGAAGTTGGAGACCTTGTCTACCTGGACGCCGACAACATCAAGGTCCCCGAAGCCCAGTCAAAGAAGTTGTTGCCCAAGTACCGAGGACCGTTCAAGATAGCGGCCCGACCCAGTCCCCTCAACTACCTGTTGGACTTGCCACCTGGAAGCAAGCTCCATCCTGTCTTCCATGTGTCCAAGCTGCGTCGCCACACGACCCGCAGTCCAGCACAGTTCCCCGACGCCGACGAAGGTGTCCCGGACGACGCACCACTGGAAGACGACCTCGGACAATACTATACTCAAGAATATGAAGTCGAAAGGATCGTGAGGCACAAGAAAGTGGCTGATGGGTCACTTCGGTTTTATGTCAAGTGGGTTGGTTACCCACACTCGGGCAACACATGGCAAACACTGGAGGACTTGTCCCATGCACCCGAGGAGCTGAGTAAATACGGTAAACACCTCGAGGAGCCCCAAATAAAGAGCACACGCAGGGCTCCTCGCAGGAAGCCTTCTTAAGTGTGGGAGTGTAGGAGATGGTATCTCCGACGCTGTGCTGCGCGTACTGCGCGTACTGCGCGGCGCAGTGGGTCGTGACCTGTGCTGCGCTTTGCGTTTTCACGCACCGCAGGCAGGCCACCGCAGGGTATACCTGCGGGTTGCCCCCGTTCCCCCCGTTTGTCTGGAGTTCGGTTTTATCGTGAATAAACGTAAGTGCTCCCCGAGCTCACCCGTCCGCTAGAGTAGCCTAGCACCGCCCTGTTCTGCCCCGTCCTGTCTTGTCTTGTACCCCCTCCCTCCCCGTCTTGCCCCAACGTCCCAGTAGTGGACGTTACAGTTTCTCTCTTCAACTCCAAGATCGTCGACATCGTGGGCCTGCTGCAGCACCGCCTGCCCGACGACCCAGACCTCAAGCGAGCAGCCCGGCATGTCGATACTGCCCGGTGTCTATCACCAGGCACCCCAATCCAGCGGTTTATCCTGGACGGTCAGTGCTACTTTGAGCATATCAAGAACCGCGATTTACCCGAGTTGATGGCGGCATTCAGTGAATTCAATCTCGAGCAGCGCTGGGACAAGCTCTCACCAGCGGATAAGGAGTGTCTGTGGGACCTTGCTATCGAGCTGGTCAAGATTGCCGAGCTGTATTCAGAGCTGCTTGTGGCAGGCGTGAGTCTGTTCTGATCACAGATCACAGATCCTCGTCCTCGCCCTGTCTCATGAACATAATATAGGATACCATTCGGATGGCAATGTAGATGACCGTGAGCCAGAGAGCGAACAGGACGATGGGTTTCTCAAATGGGATGTGTGCTCGCACCATCTCGGGCATGGGCCATAGCTTTGCAACGAACACTGCGGTTATGAGGACAGCTGCCTCAAGGATGGACGGTGTTTGGAAGACACACACCGCCCCAGCATCCTTTGGCGGTGGCGATGAAGTGGCAGTGTTGACATCGGTGCTGGTTGGGATGTCGGACTCGGGTACTTCGACGGCGGGTAGGCGAAGTAAAGAGATCGGAGTAGAGTAATTCTGTGCGTTCATCATCATCCAGCAGCACCAGCTACAGCGTCCACGACAAAAAAACCATGAGCAGCGCGACGAGCCCGCTGACCCTGAGTATTGATCTGGGATTCATCAATTGTGGCGTATGCTTCATATCCGAGGATCTCGAGATACTCCATCTCAACCGCATCGACGGCGAGCCCCAGTTCATGGAGGCGTATTTCTTCTCCGGGATGGTCGACGGATCCGAGCCCGCCGAGCTCATGCAGCGCACAACACGAGTGATCATCGAGAAGCCGCCAATCTTCAACGACCAGCTCTGCATTCTCGCCAATGACATATATGCTCTCTTCCAGCTCTGTGGATTCCATTATGGCTACGGATACCGAGTCGAGTTCATCCACAGTATGCTCAAGCTGGACCAATGGACGAACTGGCCGACCGACACTCTTGGGCCCTTGGTGAAGGAGACGTATCAAGGCCGAAAGCAGTGCGGTGTCAAGCTCTGCTACCACCTCGGTCTCGGTCCCCTACTCGCCGACTTCCACAAGAAGGATGATGTATGTGACGCTATATTGATGGCCCTTGTCGCATACGGCTACAAAGATGTCGAAGCTGCACGCAAGCAGCTGGCTCAGTCGAACCTGACGACATACGGGGAGTCGACGCCATCCAAGGACTCTGAGCCCTCTCCCCAAGGCGTCGAGTAACCGCTCGGGGCATCCGACTCGACCAAGAGCTCATCCAGCTCCTGATCAAACTTGTCGGCGCCCTTGTTGCGATTGATGCGCTTGCGCTTGAGGACATTGAAAATCTCAATAAAGTGGCGGCGGATGTAGGCAATCACCCTGTTCTGGATGCACCACTTGAAGAAGCAGAGCTGCCCGATGGTGGTCTCGAAGCTGACGGGCTGCTGGGTCTGCGGGTGGAGGGTGGTCATGGTGAAACGACCAAAACGACGGAAGGGGTCGAATCGCTTCTTGCTGTAGGCTCGAAGCTGGGCCTTGTAGTTCTCGTACACGTAGAATATAGCACCGTCGACCCTGTAGCGAACGCTGTTGCGTCTGGAATAGTTCACAATGAACCAATCGAGCATGCGCAAGGAGATGCGGTCTTGGCGAAGAATGATGTAGATGACTTCGTTGAGGCGGCGTGGGTTCGCCCCGAAAAACTCGACAAGCGAGTGGGACAGGAAATTGGTCATTTCATCGTTGCCTTCAGGCGGCTTAACGGAGAGATCAAAATGGAAGCTCATCTTTCGACGACAGAAAAAAAGCTCGGAGTACTTGAACGAGTCTGGGTACAAAAAAGCGCGTGAAAGAGCGCGATGATTTTTTCGGCGGCTATGATCAACACTGTAGCCAAACGCTTACTACAATTTCACCCGCGCGCTGCCAACATGAGCATACCCAACGGCCGATACGCACACTCCCGGATCCCCATCTACCCGCCACCCCTCGAGGAAGAGGCGGAGGAAGAATCGCCTGACCCCCCACCATGCCTGACCATCATCGGCAGCTACCCGCCATACCCTTACGAGACCTGGGCGGAGCTCGAAGAGAGTGACCCGTACTACGAAGTGGCGCAGGCAGTCCCTGACTACCTCTCTGACATCCTCATGATAAAGTACCCGCACACACCTACGCCTGACACTGAACAATGCAATTGTTGGGGATCAATGTTGTATTCACATGATACGCGGAGTTGTTGGGTATGTCGCAGGTGGGAGGAGCACTATATCGATGTGTTATTGAAGCTCTATACCCATGCACCATCGACGATCCCTTGGGAGGAGTTTGTAGGGACCGTCTTCATGCTGTCGAGTCACGAGTTGATCCCCATGCTCTGTGGGTGAGCGCAGTCCTGGATATAAAAGCGACGTGGGATTCACTCTTCCGCTTCCCCCGGCATCGATCGAGAATGACCATGACCACAGCACCAGAGCAGCCCATTGCGATTTCGACTTCGACGGCAACGATCAGCTTCGACACCGAGATCGATGTCACTGCCGTCGCCCGCCATATCGCTCTCGACGAGACCATTGTAGGTGTCAAGACCGCGATACCATCGATCCGCAGGAATATGATCTACAGCCGAGGCAAGGTGCGAATGAGCAAGTCGCGCAAGCAAGGGGCTCTCCCCATCAAGTACAGGAACAGGAACAGCCTAGCACTCATGGCCGGTCAGGCCACGCTCTACGTGCAGCTCACCTCTGGACGCACGGTGGTCTGCAAGATCTTCAAGACCGGCACACTCCATATCACCGGCTGCAGAAGCATGGACGAGCATCGCTTTGTCGCCGAGGCGGTATGGGAGCGGCTTCGACCCATCGACACCGTGGAAACGATCGAGCTCGACGACGACTTACCGTATAACGTGACCACGACCGAGGATCGCGCTCTCCTCGATAGCAGGGGTGATACGATCGGATACATCGACCCATCCAACAACCAAGTCTACCTCCGAAACCATCCTGTCCGAGTCGACTTGGACAGCAAGTGCTTCGTCTCGGCCGAAGACCTACGTGGACGCTCCCAGCTCTACAGCTTCACCGGGCATCACGTCGGCACGCAATACAAAGAATCGAGACGACTCTGGATCGACGGCCGGGTGTCCTTGTATCCGCACCTGCCAGTATCGAGCGCCTCCTCCAATCCCAGAAAGTCCCTCTCGGTCCGACGCAAAGCCATACCACTCCAGAAGACGGTGGACACCTCGATGATCACCATCCATATGATCAGTGGCATGTTGAAGCTTGCACATGGTATCGATCGCGGTACCATGTTCAATGTCATGCTTGCCGATGGCATCAACGCCCGATACCACCCAGAGGTGCATGCTGCCGTGACGATGCGGGTTGCTATCCGCAGCGGATTCTGTGGTCCTCGGTTGGAGATTGCAGACATCCTATGTCGCTGCAGAGGCCACTGTACATGCAGCAAATTCACTGCAATGATATATCGCTCCGGAACCGTGATCGTGACGGGGATGAAGCGCTTTGACCATCCCGCATTGATCGAGGAGTTCGTCTGTCGATACTGCCTTCAATTCTGTATCGCGTGAGAGGCATTGGCTCGACCCTCCACGGTTGTGTTGGGGATTGCATCCATTTCGTTGAATATACGTGTTGGTTTTGAAACATCTTGGAGCTGTGCTGTCCTTGTGGGCATGGGTGTAGGGAGCTCGAAGGACTTGTCGCCCTGCTGCACGAGTCCGGGCTCGGTGTTGGCAAAGGTCACCCATCGTTTTCCAGCATTCATCTGGCCGCCAACCGTCAGCTCTGGCGTGGCCGTCAAGATACCCATTTGCATTGGCCGATCGATGACGGTCTTGCCGCCCTCGGTGCGGCCCTCGACGGTAAAGTCGGGATTGCGTGTCGTCTGGAAGTCGCGATATTCGCTTGCACTCACGACAGCAGACGGACCGGCAGCGGGTGCGGCTTCGTAAGTCTCTTTGTTGACCTGCTTGACGTTCATGGGGAGCATCGTGGTGGCATTGACCAGCGACGACACACCGCCTGTATTGGAGACGTTCTCGTAGACGTCCTTGGTGACCTGCTTGACGTTCATGGGGAGCATTGTGCTGGCGTTTACAGCAGCAGCCGGGGCACCGTAGCCTACGCTTGAAGCCACCAGCATCTCCAAGTCCTCTGGCTTGAGCTGGAACTGGAGGGGGACTTGCTCGCTTGTGGTGATCGGGTTCTTGCTGTAACGTCCACTACTGGGACGTTGGGGCAAGACGGGGAGGGAGGGGGTACAAGACAAGACAGGACGGGGCAGAACAGGGCGGTGCTAGGCTACTCTAGCGGACGGGTGAGCTCGGGGAGCACTTACGTTTATTCACGATAAAACCGAACTCCAGACAAACGGGGGGGAACGGGGGCAACCCGCAGGTATACCCTGCGGTGGCCTGCCTGCGGTGCGTGAAAACGCAAAGCGCAGCACAGGTCACGACCCACTGCGCCGCGCAGTACGCGCAGTACGCGCAGCACAGCGTCGGAGATACCATCTCCTACACTCCCACACTTAAGAAGGCTTCCTGCGAGGAGCCCTGCGTGTGCTCTTTATTTGGGGCTCCTCGAGGTGTTTACCGTATTTACTCAGCTCCTCGGGTGCATGGGACAAGTCCTCCAGTGTTTGCCATGTGTTGCCCGAGTGTGGGTAACCAACCCACTTGACATAAAACCGAAGTGACCCATCAGCCACTTTCTTGTGCCTCACGATCCTTTCGACTTCATATTCTTGAGTATAGTATTGTCCGAGGTCGTCTTCCAGTGGTGCGTCGTCCGGGACACCTTCGTCGGCGTCGGGGAACTGTGCTGGACTGCGGGTCGTGTGGCGACGCAGCTTGGACACATGGAGGACAGGATGGAGCTTGCTTCCAGGTGGCAAGTCCAACAGGTAGTTGAGGGGACTGGGTCGGGCCGCTATCTTGAACGGTCCTCGGTACTTGGGCAACAACTTCTTTGACTGGGCTTCGGGGACCTTGATGTTGTCGGCGTCCAGGTAGACAAGGTCTCCAACTTCAAAGGAGACATCCTGGTGTCGGCGGTCGTAGTACTTCGCCATCACTTGTTGCGCATCCGTGAGCGCGTCGGCGATCATCTTGTGTCGGACTTGATGATCTTTGACAAAGGCACTTGGTTTGGGAGGCAATCCAGCCGTGGACTCGGTCAGTGTCAAGGAGGTGGGAACATCAGGCTGGAATCCGTAGAGCGCCTCAAAGGGGCTCAAGCCAGTTGTGCTCGACTTGGCGGTGTTGTATGCAAACTCTGCATGACTCAGCTGTATGTCCCAGTCGTCTTGGCTGGTCGAGGCGTATGTCCTCAGGTATTGCTCGAGGGTGCGGATCGTCCGCTCGGACTGTCCATCCGTTTGTTGGTGGTGCGAGGTTGACATGTTCAGCTTGGTGCCGAGATGGTCGAACAGACTTGTCCAAAACAAGGAGGTGAATCGGGGGTCTCGATCACTGACGATGGACTTTGGGAGGCCGTGGTGCTTGAACACATGCTTGAAGAACAGCAGTGCAAGGTCAGGCGCGGAGCATGTCGTCTGGCACGGCACAAAGTGTGCCATCTTGCTGAACCTGTCGACAAAGACAGCGATTGCATCGTGGTCCAACTTGGTCGTCGGTAGATGCGTGATGAGATCCATGGACATGCTGGTCCAGGGGCGGTCGGGAACAGGCAGGGGTTGCAGCAATCCTTGCTCTCGGGTCGTGCGTGACTTGACCATCTTGCAGGTATGGCAGGACTCGATGTACTTCTCGACGGTGCGCTTCATTCCAGGCCAGTATGCGACTTTGGCCAGTCGGTCGTATGTCTTCTCGACTCCAAAGTGTCCAGCGAGGGGCGAGTCGTGGACCTCTTGGAGCAACTTGGTCTTCAACGACGGAATGTCCGGCACACAGACACGGCTGTCCTTCTTCAGGAGGAGCAGGCCATCACGCACTGTGTACTCGGATGATTCGTCGTCCTTGGGGAGCTTAGACACCTTTCGGAACAGTTCTCCGAACTGTTTGTCGTTGGCGATGTTGTCTCGGACAACATCCAGCATCGTGTTGTCGACACTGACAGTCGACTCGTACAGTGACGCCAATTGGTAGTCGGGGCGTCGGGACAGTGCGTCAGGCACCACATTGAGTTTGCCTTTCTGGTATACAACCTCGTAGTTGTACTCGGCGAGGAACTCCATCCATCGCGCTTGGCGTCGGCTCAGGTTCTTCTTGGTGTCGAGGTAACGCAGTGACTGGTGGTCCGTCACAATCTTGAAGGGCTTGGCGGTACCGTGGAGGTACACTCGGAACTTCTGCAGCGCGTAGATGATCGCAAGCTGCTCCTTCTCGTGCACGGGATAGTTGATCTCGTGTTGGGACAGTTTGCGCGACTCGAAGGCAACGGGCCTTCCCTCCTGCATCAAAACAGCTCCCACCGCAAAGTCGGAGGCGTCGGTGTGCACGGAGACATCCGTGTTCGGGTCGAACACAGCGAGGACAGGAGCGTTCGTCAAGGCGTGCTTGAGGGTCTCGAACGCTTGGCGTTGTGGGTGGTCCCACACGAAGGGGCACTCTTTGCGGAGTAGGTCTGTGAGTGGACCGGCAGTGCGCGCCAGATCGGGGATGAATCGGCGGTAGTAGTTGACGAGACCGAGAAACGACTGCACGTCAGAGACGCATGCGAGCGGCGGCCACTCGACCACAGACTTGACCTTGGCGGGGTCGACTTCGATTCCTCTTCCTGAGACAACGTGTCCCAGGAACGGGACTTGATTCTTGAAGAACTCACACTTGGACAGTTTGGCAT